AAGATGAACTAGATGGACCCATACTTACCCAAACATGGATTAATAGGTTCTACACATGACTATGAGGACAAACATGAGTGAAACGGTCTCAATCCAAGGGAGGAACATCAAATGGACCTAATTTGGGAACCGGAAGAGGTAAGGAGTCCGAAATGTACCTCTGTGACTCCACATTGTGGAAACTCACTTGTAGTGTATAAGATGAACTAGATGGACCCATACTTACCCAAACATGGATTAATAGGTTCTACACATGACTATGAGGACAAACATGAGTGAAACGGTCTCAATCCAAGGGAGGAACATCAAATGGACCTAATTTGGGAACCGGAAGAGGTAAGGAGTCCGAAATGTACCTCTGTGACTCCACATTGTGGAAACTCACTTGTAGTGTATAAGATGAACTAGATGGACCCATACTTACCCAAACATGGATTAATAGGTTCTACACATGACTATGAGGACAAACATGAGTGAAACGGTCTCAATCCAAGGGAGGAACATCAAATGGACCTAATTTGGGAACCGGAAGAGGTAAGGAGTCCGAAATGTACCTCTGTGACTCCACATTGTGGAAACTCACTTGTAGTGTATAAGATGAACTAGATGGACCCATACTTACCCAAACATGGATTAATAGGTTCTACACATGACTATGAGGACAAACATGAGTGAAACGGTCTCAATCCAAGGGAGGAACATCAAATGGACCTAATTTGGGAACCGGAAGAGGTAAGGAGTCCGAAATGTACCTCTGTGACTCCACATTGTGGAAACTCACTTGTAGTGTATAAGATGAACTAGATGGACCCATACTTACCCAAACATGGATTAATAGGTTCTACACATGACTATGAGGACAAACATGAGTGAAACGGTCTCAATCCAAGGGAGGAACATCAAATGGACCTAATTTGGGAACCGGAAGAGGTAAGGAGTCCGAAATGTACCTCTGTGACTCCACATTGTGGAAACTCACTTGTAGTGTATAAGATGAACTAGATGGACCCATACTTACCCAAACATGGATTAATAGGTTCTACACATGACTATGAGGACAAACATGAGTGAAACGGTCTCAATCCAAGGGAGGAACATCAAATGGACCTAATTTGGGAACCGGAAGAGGTAAGGAGTCCGAAATGTACCTCTGTGACTCCACATTGTGGAAACTCACTTGTAGTGTATAAGATGAACTAGATGGACCCATACTTACCCAAACATGGATTAATAGGTTCTACACATGACTATGAGGACAAACATGAGTGAAACGGTCTCAATCCAAGGGAGGAACATCAAATGGACCTAATTTGGGAACCGGAAGAGGTAAGGAGTCCGAAATGTACCTCTGTGACTCCACATTGTGGAAACTCACTTGTAGTGTATAAGATGAACTAGATGGACCCATACTTACCCAAACATGGATTAATAGGTTCTACACATGACTATGAGGACAAACATGAGTGAAACGGTCTCAATCCAAGGGAGGAACATCAAATGGACCTAATTTGGGAACCGGAAGAGGTAAGGAGTCCGAAATGTACCTCTGTGACTCCACATTGTGGAAACTCACTTGTAGTGTATAAGATGAACTAGATGGACCCATACTTACCCAAACATGGATTAATAGGTTCTACACATGACTATGAGGACAAACATGAGTGAAACGGTCTCAATCCAAGGGAGGAACATCAAATGGACCTAATTTGGGAACCGGAAGAGGTAAGGAGTCCGAAATGTACCTCTGTGACTCCACATTGTGGAAACTCACTTGTAGTGTATAAGATGAACTAGATGGACCCATACTTATCCCAAACATGGATTAATAGGTTCTACACATGACTATGAGGACAAACATGAGTGAAACGGTCTCAATCCAAGGGAGGAACATCAAATGGACCTAATTTGGGAACCGGAAGAGGTAAGGAGTCCGAAATGTACCTCTGTGACTCCACATTGTGGAAACTCACTTGTAGTGTATAAGATGAACTAGATGGACCCATACTTACCCAAACATGGATTAATAGGTTCTACACATGACTATGAGGACAAACATGAGTGAAACGGTCTCAATCCAAGGGAGGAACATCAAATGGACCTAATTTGGGAACCGGAAGAGGTAAGGAGTCCGAAATGTACCTCTGTGACTCCACATTGTGGAAACTCACTTGTAGTGTATAAGATGAACTAGATGGACCCATACTTACCCAAACATGGATTAATAGGTTCTACACATGACTATGAGGACAAACATGAGTGAAACGGTCTCAATCCAAGGGAGGAACATCAAATGGACCTAATTTGGGAACCGGAAGAGGTAAGGAGTCCGAAATGTACCTCTGTGACTCCACATTGTGGAAACTCACTTGTAGTGTATAAGATGAACTAGATGGACCCATACTTATCCCAAACATGGATTAATAGGTTCTACACATGACTATGAGGACAAACATGAGTGAAACGGTCTCAATCCAAGGGAGGAACATCAAATGGACCTAATTTGGGAACCGGAAGAGGTAAGGAGTCCGAAATGTACCTCTGTGACTCCACATTGTGGAAACTCACTTGTAGTGTATAAGATGAACTAGATGGACCCATACTTACCCAAACATGGATTAATAGGTTCTACACATGACTATGAGGACAAACATGAGTGAAACGGTCTCAATCCAAGGGAGGAACATCAAATGGACCTAATTTGGGAACCGGAAGAGGTAAGGAGTCCGAAATGTACCTCTGTGACTCCACATTGTGGAAACTCACTTGTAGTGTATAAGATGAACTAGATGGACCCATACTTACCCAAACATGGATTAATAGGTTCTACACATGACTATGAGGACAAACATGAGTGAAACGGTCTCAATCCAAGGGAGGAACATCAAATGGACCTAATTTGGGAACCGGAAGAGGTAAGGAGTCCGAAATGTACCTCTGTGACTCCACATTGTGGAAACTCACTTGTAGTGTATAAGATGAACTAGATGGACCCATACTTACCCAAACATGGATTAATAGGTTCTACACATGACTATGAGGACAAACATGAGTGAAACGGTCTCAATCCAAGGGAGGAACATCAAATGGACCTAATTTGGGAACCGGAAGAGGTAAGGAGTCCGAAATGTACCTCTGTGACTCCACATTGTGGAAACTCACTTGTAGTGTATAAGATGAACTAGATGGACCCATACTTACCCAAACATGGATTAATAGGTTCTACACATGACTATGAGGACAAACATGAGTGAAACGGTCTCAATCCAAGGGAGGAACATCAAATGGACCTAATTTGGGAACCGGAAGAGGTAAGGAGTCCGAAATGTACCTCTGTGACTCCACATTGTGGAAACTCACTTGTAGTGTATAAGATGAACTAGATGGACCCATACTTACCCAAACATGGATTAATAGGTTCTACACATGACTATGAGGACAAACATGAGTGAAACGGTCTCAATCCAAGGGAGGAACATCAAATGGACCTAATTTGGGAACCGGAAGAGGTAAGGAGTCCGAAATGTACCTCTGTGACTCCACATTGTGGAAACTCACTTGTAGTGTATAAGATGAACTAGATGGACCCATACTTACCCAAACATGGATTAATAGGTTCTACACATGACTATGAGGACAAACATGAGTGAAACGGTCTCAATCCAAGGGAGGAACATCAAATGGACCTAATTTGGGAACCGGAAGAGGTAAGGAGTCCGAAATGTACCTCTGTGACTCCACATTGTGGAAACTCACTTGTAGTGTATAAGATGAACTAGATGGACCCATACTTACCCAAACATGGATTAATAGGTTCTACACATGACTATGAGGACAAACATGAGTGAAACGGTCTCAATCCAAGGGAGGAACATCAAATGGACCTAATTTGGGAACCGGAAGAGGTAAGGAGTCCGAAATGTACCTCTGTGACTCCACATTGTGGAAACTCACTTGTAGTGTATAAGATGAACTAGATGGACCCATACTTACCAAACATGGATTAATAGGTTCTACACATGACTATGAGGACAAACATGAGTGAAACGGTCTCAATCCAAGGGAGGAACATCAAATGGACCTAATTTGGGAACCGGAAGAGGTAAGGAGTCCGAAATGTACCTCTGTGACTCCACATTGTGGAAACTCACTTGTAGTGTATAAGATGAACTAGATGGACCCATACTTACCCAAACATGGATTAATAATGACTATGAGGACAAACATGAGTGAAACGGTCTCAATCCAAGGGAGGAACATCAAATGGACCTAATTTGGGAACCGGAAGAGGTAAGGAGTCCGAAATGTACCTCTGTGACTCCACATTGTGGAAACTCACTTGTAGTGTATAAGATGAACTAGATGGACCCATACTTACCCAAACATGGATTAATAGGTTCTACACATGACTATGAGGACAAACATGAGTGAAACGGTCTCAATCCAAGGGAGGAACATCAAATGGACCTAATTTGGGAACCGGAAGAGGTAAGGAGTCCGAAATGTACCTCTGTGACTCCACATTGTGGAAACTCACTTGTAGTGTATAAGATGAACTAGATGGACCCATACTTACCCAAACATGGATTAATAGGTTCTACACATGACTATGAGGACAAACATGAGTGAAACGGTCTCAATCCAAGGGAGGAACATCAAATGGACCTAATTTGGGAACCGGAAGAGGTAAGGAGTCCGAAATGTACCTCTGTGACTCCACATTGTGGAAACTCACTTGTAGTGTATAAGATGAACTAGATGGACCCATACTTACCCAAACATGGATTAATAGGTTCTACACATGACTATGAGGACAAACATGAGTGAAACGGTCTCAATCCAAGGGAGGAACATCAAATGGACCTAATTTGGGAACCGGAAGAGGTAAGGAGTCCGAAATGTACCTCTGTGACTCCACATTGTGGAAACTCACTTGTAGTGTATAAGATGAACTAGATGGACCCATACTTACCCAAACATGGATTAATAGGTTCTACACATGACTATGAGGACAAACATGAGTGAAACGGTCTCAATCCAAGAGGGGAACTGATATCTTTAAAATCATGAGAGATTTTCTTCGATCCGACAAGCTTAGGCCTGGTGCAACAGTCTAGGTCATGGGTTTTAAGCACTTCTTCAGCTGCTTCTTTGGACGAGATTACCGTTACAGGGACAAAACCTAAGCGAACAAGCATAACATGTCCGGTTCTTTCGGCTAGACGTTGGAGTGACCTGTGAGGCAATTCTCCAACTTGGTGTAGGTTTCCGATGATCGGAAACTGTGGAGGACTTGGAGGAAGATTCCATTTGGAGCGTTTGATCTTCTTGCCGACAAAGATTAACGAAGCGACGGTGATGAGGATAAGACAGAGCAAAGAGATTGCCATTTTTTATTTTGCTTTGGGATATCGAGAATATGAATTTGGTATAGCTCTGTTTTGGTATCTTATTAGTTTCAAGCGGCAAGAAGAAACCAAAAACTTTTAATTGCAATAAAATGGGCTTATATATTAGCTTTTTTTTTTTTTTTCATGTTTTGTAATATGATTCGTGTGAATTACATGGTTATCAAATTTTTACTTTTTTCTTCTAATGCATAAATAGAAGATTTCTTATTTACAATCACAGAGATTATCATAAAGATTCTTTCTACCTCTTGTATCTTAAACCAAACAAACTGTATACCCTACCTTATTTTTCTTTTTATAACTAGTAAGTTTGCTCATACCATATGTTAGTGAGAAATTTTATGAAATACATCTCTTGAGGTGCAAATTTTCAAAAGTACACCAATAGTGTGGAAATTTTCAAAAATACATGTTTTCCTAATTTTAATATATATGTTTGGATTCACTAATCCTATATCAGGGTTTAGATTTTGGGGTTAGGGTTTAGATTTAAGGGTTCACTGTTAGATTTTAGGGTTTTGAATTTATATTTTAGGATTTAGAGCTCTTTTACTAATTGAAAAAAGTGTAGTTTTGAAAATGGACACCATAGAAGTGTATTTTTGAAAATAGGCACCTCAAAAGGTGTACTTTTGAAATTTTCCCGTTAGTAGAGTTATATATTTTATTAATCTTTTGACTTTTGGTCTCCTAACATTATTTTTTTCCAATAAGACCAAATTATTTATTGTTGTGTTATTCTTCAGGTCTATCAAGTTTATATATACAGTAGAAACTCTATAAATTAATAATGGACTTTGATATTTTATTAATTTATAGGTTTTGATTAAAAGAAAAAATTTCAAAAAAATAAAATTTAATATTTATAATCGTTTAAAATTTCATTCAAATTAAATAAAAACTTTCATTTATAGTATATTTTATAATTTTTCTGATATTTTTATATTTATTTTATTATTAACATTTTTTCATACTTATCATATTGTTTTAAATTTTATTTTTCTTCTCATTTCCATATATATCTGTTTGGTGTGTGATAGATTCATACTCCCTCTATCCTATATTACAAACAATTTGGAAAAATGTATTTGGATGTATCTGGACGTGTTTTGAGTCCAGATACATCCAGATAATTGCAAATACATTTTTCCCAACTACTTATAATATGTGACAGAGGGAGTATTTTAGTAGCTAGATATTTTAGTTATATATATAATTTTAATATATGATGACTATTAATTTATAATATTATTGGGACCATAGTTTAA